AACTTTGCCACATGCTTCAGTTCATATACAATAAAAATTTTCATATATGTTTCATAAACATAAACGTAATATATCAGCATGCATTAATTTGATCACCAACTGAATCTGTTGTAAGTGCGTTAATTCAAATTATCAAGTCTGAAATTATCACTTTTCAGACTTTATGCACATTGCTTCTAAGGATAAAAGATGGAAAATCAATTCATGCAATAGTTTTTTTTTTTCTCCCACCTAAGAAACTCCCTTTCAGAACTGTTCAACTGTCAGCAAAGTTCACTCAAACATTAGACTCTATTACACATACATGGCTGCATTGGCATTTCCTTGCAAATTATTTCATATTCACAAGGAATGCTAATATTTTTGTTTTCATCATAAACATTCAAAACAGTAAAAGATATTAAAAGTACTATTTATTGTATTACTGCAGCATACCAGCCATCCAGACCACAACACAAACATAACAACATTAACAAGAAAGGTGCCATGTTGCTTGTTTGGCAACTTCTATTTCTGGGAAAGAGGGGGGATTTTCCCCCCTCACTTCAGCATTAAAACTGATAAAAATGGTTTTACTTTCAGAAAACTGTGAATGAAAGTTGTAATGTGAAGAGATGATGTTCAATACCAGTGTTTATTTGTACTCTAAAAGATGTTGAAATATGTGTAAAAAGTATATGTGTGTATTCAGAGAAAAGCCACCTCCTTAAGATAACCACCTCTAAAAGAGACCAGTATTTCTGAGAATATAAGTATATGTTGGTATTGAACATCCCCTCTCTAAAGTGAACATGCAAAGAAAATTCTGGAAGTATGGCTGATCAGCTTAGAAAGACTCATTTCACAGGAGCAACATCTCTAAGATAACCACCTCTAAAAGATAAAAGTATGTCTGAGAATGTAAATATATATTGGTAGTGAACATCATCTCTCTAAGGTGACTACCACAGATAAAAATTTTTTATATGTGTCTGGTAGCCTTAGAGAGGCCTCATTGTGTATGGGTGTGTATAAAAGTATACATGTATTAATCAGTACTAATCATTGTTATTGTTTCCAACAAAAGTTTAAAAAAAATAAATAAATGAACATATATAGTGAACCCTTTCCAAGATGACCATGCATATTTCTAGGTTACTCTGATGTTCTTTAAGAGGTCATATTTATTTATGTTCTTAGAAATACTGATCGTCTTAGTGATGGAGACGAGAGGGTTCACTGTATAGTTTTAAATTTTAAACATTCCTCTTGTTTACAAAACTGAAATAACCTTAATCTCAATCATAGCAAATAAATGAATAAATAAAAAGTAAATAAATAATTGAAATTAATCAGCAGACAACAAGGATACCTATGAGTTTTGGTTTACTGATGTCAGAAAAGTCTTAAGCCATACAAACCAATAGAAGGTTTATTTGGCATCCATTTTGATTGTTATGGTATCAATGTCTATTGAATTAAGAAAAATTAGTAAAATGTCAATATAAACCAATGCAAACCAGTAGAAAGTTCTGACATTGGTGTTAGCTGTATTTATGTCAATCCATACCAGTAAGAAGAACCCACAGAGATCAAGAGAAACTACTAAATGTTAGTAGAAACCAACGGAAAGTTTTACTGGTTTCTATGGGACATTTTGATACCACTAAGAAAAAGCAATAAGGACCAACAAAAGGCAGTGAAAGTCGGTAGAAACAAAACAAAAAAAAAAAAAAAAAAAAAAAAAAATTTCTATGGGTACCCATAAAAAGTTTTACTGGTTTCTATGGGGCATTTTTAGCTGCATATTTATGACTAATTACATTAATCACATAATAAATGCAAGATTCTCATAATTGTGCCATAATTTTCTAGTTGCAGCCATCAAAGCTTTGTATTTTTCATCCATTTAACTTATAGGCCATGGCTTTCAGGTATTCTTCAATAACAGCTTTTGGAGCTGATTGAAATTTTTCTACCCTGTTTGGTTTCTTACTTGTGAGACACTGTTTTTAGAACTCTTTGTTCACAGTAGTGTTCGAAGGGGCGGAATTTTATTATCTTAAGATTAACATAGCGTAAACGTCTAGAGACATTTGAAATGAGTCCTTCATGAATACCTGCTAATAAGCAAGGCTATCTACATGCATTATTATCAATGAAAATTATTTGAAACTTTAAACTTCCCAGTATTGTTCCACTACATAGATGATACTTTTACCCTGTTTGATGGTAATAAAGATGATTTAAATGAAGTTCCTCAAAGAAATGAATTCCATTGATCCTGCTATTCAGTTTACTTTTGAATTTGAGACATCCAATTCTCTTCTGTTCCTCGACGTTTTGGTCACATGTAACTTATTCAAATTCACTACTACTGTTTATGGTAAACCTTCATCAGTTTGTTTTCTACCATTCTTCAAATAATATCATTGAGCTAAAGAGCTTCATTTTATTCGTTTGTTTTCTATGCACTTCAAGTTTGCTCCTCCAAATTGGCTCTTGATTGAGAAATAAATTATTTAAAAGCAGTTGCTATTGGTGGGAGTTTATTAACCAAGTGGTTAAAAAGTTCTCATCTCAAAACATCAAAAGGCAGCCTCTCGTTTTAGGAGATTATAAGAATTCTGTTGTCATTCCTTTCTTTCCATCGTTTAGCTATAAAACTGTACCTATTTTACAAAAGTTTAACTTTTGGGTAGTTTTTTTCTCTCTGTCAGTAAAATTCGTAGTTCCATACTTAAGGACTTCAATCCGGATATGAATTCCTGGGGTATTTACATGGTTCTTTCCCAGTCTGCTTTGATTTACATTGGTCAAACTAAAAGAGCCTTAAAGTTTTGTGTTACAGAGCTTGAAGCATATGTTAGGAAAAAGGAAACACTGAAATCAACTGTTGCCCGGCACTGTTGGTCAGAAAAATCCCATTGTTTATTTTTTTGCAACCAAAATTATTCCAGAAATATCTTCCTTTGGTGAATTATCTGTTCTATAGGTGTTTCCCATTCAAAGAATCTCTGTTATAGTTAGCGACCCTAATTCCAATCCTTCTTAACCCTCAGCCCATGAGGAAACTGTGTTTTGGTTTTCTTGTTTCATCTATAGATGGTGCCAGTAACTTGATGTCTTTCCAACTATTCTCATCTTATCACATATTCTATCTCATTTATTTGCACGTACACAACTGAAGAAAGATGGAACTGGTCCTGCAAAATTTAAAAACATTACACTGATTCTTGTTTAACTTCTCTAATAATAATTTTTGGCATGTTATTTTATCCTAAATCAAAAAATTTTAATTCATTAGAAACTATAAGGAAGCACAAAAGGGATAAAAAATTAAAACATGTTGGAAGTGCTTTTTTGAAATGGTTTCAAGCTATGCAACTAAAACTTGTTCTTATTTCTACAGATCTTTTCATTTTAAAAGCTGTGGAATTTGCTAAGTTGCTAGTAGAAAGTTTTGTATCAAGTGACACATGGCTCACAACTTGGAATGGAAAAATAACATAAAAACCTTAATGGTAAGAAGGAAGAGGCATATCATTGTGTGGCTGAGAAACTAGATAAATAATGTTTAAACTGGGATGCTAAATGAATACAATCCACAATAAATTTTTAAAACGGGCAAAGCTGTATTGTGTTATAAAACATGAAAAGAACACACATTAATATTTAAATGGGAAACAGCTATAGGTGTAAGAAAGTGAAAGAACAATTTAGTGTGTTATTAAGCACAGTGCTGGTAGTTGAAAGGAGTCATAAATTTACATCTAGCGTACCGTAGCAGAACCAAGAATTCATAAATTATACTTTTACTGATTTTTAATTAAGCAACAAAGTGGAAAATGAAAACAAAAAAAAAAAAAAAAAAAAAAGCGTTACTAATTATTAGATAACTATGCAGCACACATGCCTCTGACTTTCACTTAAAGATTTTTGTCTCATGCTGGAAATAGTTTTTACAATGAGCATTCATATCATGTTGTTATAAAAGATTTCAAATGTCATTATAGAAATATTCAGAAAATGATGTACAGAATTCATTCTTGTGAAAATGCAAGCATTATAAAGCATTGATCTGGATCTGATAAACATATGGTCATTCTCTAAAACACAGTTAAATCTGTTTTCAGATAAGATGTTTTTCTGTAGAAGCCTCTGGGGAATAGGAAGCTATAACTAATGTTTCAGACATTAGTGAGGAAAGTTATGAAGGTTCATTTTTAGAATATGTGTCAACTGATGCTAATATTGAGGCAACATGTGTAAAAGCTTACTTTGATATTATAGAAAGTGTCAGTGAAAGTGATGGTATCATCAATCAAGTATAGAAAAGCACTAAATTCTAAGAAAACCTTGAACTGAAAAGTACTGATCAAGAAAACTGCCAGGAGTTTTAAGAAATTTAAAATACAATTAAAAAACTGTCGATGATATTAATATGAAACAAATGCAGCTAAAAAAAACTTTTCGTAAAATTTAAAAATTTCATTAAGTACATAATTATAAAAATATTTTTAAAATAATAATTTTAAAATTGCATTAATAGGTTAATTTTATCATTGATTTTTAATTATTATTTTAACATGAATTTTATAGCTCTTATTTTGCTAGATAATTTTAAAATTGTTATCACATTTTACAGTACAGAAATCACCATCCATTAAACTCGGCATCATAATAATCTCAAATGTACTTGATGTCGGAAGTGAATTTAATAAGCAGCATATGTGTGTATAATATATTTATATATACTAAAGAAACATAATAAGAGGCTAAACATTTTAAATGCAATTTTTTTATACCCGTCTTGGGTTATGGCTGCAGTATTGGGGTAAAATAGACTTAAAGATTCTAAAGTTAAAAGTAAATTGGAATCAAAGCAAGGCTAGAAAAAGTTGTTAGCTTTGAGGTCCGGATTATAGATTATTCCGGATTATGGGTGTCCGAATTAACGACTTTTGACTGTATATATGTTTTGGTTTCCTGTATTGCATTAATAATTATTTTAATTTCAGGTATATAATTACAAGTGCTGACATGCCCTTCCTGTACAAACATGAGTTAGATGCATTTCTTGTTCAAGCTATGGATCCTCATTTGATGGATATAGAATATACTCAGAAATTAGAAGTAAGAAAGCACTGCCTGTCATGGTACACTAACCTAATTGTAGTTTGTTAATATTTTTAAAGTTGGGACCAAACATAACTGCATTATCAAATTTAGATCAGTTGGTTACCTCATGTACTTCTGAATACATATCTGTAACAAGTAATAAATTTAAAAGCCATGAAAATTAAATACAGTAATTCAAAATCCAAAATGATTTAATATCAGGACCACAAGTAGGAAAAAGTAAAATAAGTAATAATAAAAAAAAAACCCTTAAAATATTTATGAAGGGAGACTATTATACTCAACAAAAGGAGGCAGACTGCATGCCCTACTGCATGCGACTTTCAGACATCTGCTGGGTTGGGAATAGCATTGCAGCCAATAACAATAAAGTCATTAATGTTGTATTGATATCTAGTTGCATCTCTATGAGTCCTAAAATCTGTTGCTCAGTCCTTTTCTGAATTAAAAAAAAATTCTATCTTTAAATTTTTGCTGTTCAGTGTTGCTTCAAATTTAAAAATTTTCCTGCCACCTGCTACGGCCACACTGGCACTGGATCTATTCATTTTGATTATGTATATTAGCTGAATTGCTTGTTCTTTCTCTGTAGCTTGAACATTTTTTACTGAGCTCTTTTAAACTTTCTGCATGAGAAAACACAGAATTCATAAAGTACTCATAAATTCCCTATAATCTTCCTGGATACTAACTCAACATTCACAATTCCATCAAAGTAAGTAATGAAATCAACATCATCTGGATGTTAAATTTTAAGGAATGCACTTTTCTCGAATCAGGCTATTGGGTGATTTACATGCCAGATGATAATTGTAAACAAGAAACTAATAATGAGCTTCAAGAATTGGCATAACAGGAATAAATTTACAGGACTAATTTTTAAAGTGAAATAGAAACTTCCTCAGCTGCAGGAGGGGAAATGATAATAATTTTCTGGATAAATTTGGCTGCAGAGAAAGGGAAAATGTAAATGTAACTTCAGGAAATAAAGGCAGCTGCAATTTCACACCAGGCAAAAATCTAAAAATTCTAGTCAGAGGTGTGGAAGTTGAATTGATGTGTGCTTGAGCATGTGAATGAAGAATTTGTAAAAGGCGTATATTATTCTGATGAAACTGTCAGTGCAATGCAAGAAGAATAGTTATTAAATATTGGGTGGGAATTCTTCACACAAAGCATAAAGATACTTTGTGATTATGCAGAAAAGTAGTTTTGATAGTGTAATTTGATGTAAATGAATGAACTGCCATAGTGCTTTCATATGCAGTTTCTTTCATATAAATGATTTCATAATCATTTTCGTGAAGAAAACAACTTTTGTGACAGATCTCTTCAAACTCATAAAACATGTAGTGAACTTCGATTGTGAAGGCAAATTCCTATCTGCTCCTTTACCAAACTCAAGAAATAGGATTATTTGCTGAAATTTTGTCATTTGACCCATTAGTGAAATTTGATCCACTGGTCCAAATTCATATGTATTCAGGAGAATACAGTGGGCTAAAATTTAAAGAACTTCAGTTAAGGAAAAAAAAAATGCCAAGCTGAAAAGCATGTGCAATTTTGATTGGCAAATCAGAGTGAAAATTAACATTAGTGGAGTGAAATAATTTTTATTCAATGCTTTTAGGACTTGTTAATATTTAGAAACATATAAATAACAGTAGAAAAATCAGTTCATAAAAAGTCCACTGTATAGAATTTGTGTAAACTATTGATGTCTATTTTGGAGTGTAATGTACCGTAATTTCCGGAAGAAAGGTAAACGCCGCACTCAAGAAAAATGGCGGAAAAAATTAAAATTGCACAGAATCGCCGCATCAGCGTAAATGCCGCAATAGATTAAATTGCGCATGACATCGTTGTGGGCCATATAGATGCAAAGACTCAACCTAAGTCCTGATATATGACATACCAGTTAAGAAAAATGCATGAAATGAAACCATAACTCAAAAATAAATTAAAGGTAAGAAATGTATAGCTTCTGTGCCATTTAGAGACATTTTCAAAAATTTTCCGCTCCCTTCATACTTAAAAACTATCCAACAAGTACTCCAAACTGATGGGATCTGTATTTGGCAGAATGCCAAGAAAAATCCATTCATGCTGAAGGGGAAATACGTCAGAGTTCGTTATTGTGAGGCAGGTGGAGTCGTGTTTGCCTTTGAAAAAAATTGCAGAAAAGGCGGGTGGGGAGAGGATGGGTCCTGGAAGATTCATCGAATGGCAGAGGAGAGAGACTATTCAAACTGATGAGAATGTTGATTTGAAAGGGGGAAGAATGTTATTGTTCTGAGATCTCGTTTAGGGTGAATAAGGCATGTAGGTCCGTTCAAGGGAAAGAATGTAAACAAAATAACGTTCGCAAAAGTCATCTGAGTGGTCTTTTGTGTGGGAACAGCACCAGTCTATGCACAATGACAAGGCCATCCAAGCTATGTATAATGACCATCATAGGAAATATTTTATTTTTAGTGCACCTAAACACTGCATGGGTAGAAACTCCGCACCCACTGAAAATTTAAGTTTTAAACACATAAACGCCGCGGCATTTCTTCCGGAAATTACGGTAGATGTTTGACCTATGAGTATTCTCTAGTCTTGTATAAAATTACCTAAATTGACAGTCGTTTAAAAAAAAGTTTTAGGGAAGAGATATTTCTAACATGTATTTCATTTATGTTAGAAGTTTTTGTCATTATGGCTATATGATATATTTTTGAAATGTTTGATTAATCACTGAACTTACATATTTGATTCTTTGAATTGTTATTAAACCAGTTTTCTAAACAAAATATATTTTCTTTATACGTACTTACTTCACCTAAACATTGTGTATCATTAAATTATCTTCCTTGATATTGCTAATAATTTCTCAGAGTATATTATATTCGTTAATATTTTTCAGATATATTCTCTGAATATTTCCTTTCTGTATTTTTAGGTGCCACTGATTACACCAAGAGGCATAATGCTTGCAGCTATATTCATGCAGGGTGTTGAGCATGCTTTGATTGCTAATGATGCTTGTGGTGCTCCAATATCTTGGTTGATGTGTTGTCCTTGGTTGTTTTTTGATGGCAAACTATTTCATCGTAAATTGCTCAAGGCTAATGGTGCCAAGAATCTTTTGGATCTGTGTGATAACAGAGTAAGTTTTTTTTTTTTTTTTTTTTTTTTTTTTTTTGTGGTAAGAGGAGAAGCAATCTGTATTATTTATATCATTGCCTTATACTCACTTTTAAATAAAATTACAAAATCAGCTAACTATTTTTTTTAACTGAGCTATTTTCAGTTAAAAATTTTTCGACTGAATTTTTTTTTAAAATCTTGTGTTTAGTAACTGTAATATTTAGTAATTTGTAAATGGCAACATTTAATGTTTAGTAACTTGTAATTGGCGACACTTTGGATACAGATATGAAAATAGAACTATGCTGGTATTGCAATTCTCTGTAATATAATACATTCTATGATTATAAAAAAATGGCTTCTAAAAACTAAAAGTGCACCCTCATTGTTCTGTATGGTGTCGGGAATATTTTACTTTCAAAATGGAAAGTTTAAAACCACGAGAGCTGATGAAATTTGATGGAAATCTTGCTTCAAATTGGCAAAGATGGCTGTAATCATTCGAAACATATGAAGTAGCTAGTGGATTATACAATAAAGACGAGACGGTAAGAGTTAATACTTCTCTTCATTAATAGGAATTCGTGATCTTGAAGTATATAATACATTTGCTATAGAAGAAGGTAAAGAAATTAAATTAAGTGAAATTAAGACAAAATTTACGGAATATTGTATTCCTACGAAAAATATTACATATGAAAGACATTTGTTCTTTACTAGAAATCAAACCGTGTCAGAAACCATAGATGACTATGTAACTGACCTTCGAAATAAAGCTAGAACATGTAAGTTTGCACAATTAACATATAGTTTAATAAAATATAAAATTGTTTGTGGTATTAAAGATTATGTAGTGAGAGCAACATTGTTACATGAAACAGAATTAACATTAGAAATATCTCTTGATATATGCAGATCTGCTGAAATAAGTGCACATCACATGAAAATCATAAAAGATGAGGAAACTGTTGTAAACTTAGTGAAAAAGAAACTCAGTAAACGTAATAAGAATACCTACAAAAAGGTAAATATCAAGAAACAAAAGACAAAAGTTTGTTCTAAATGTGGAACATCTCATGAGTATTGAAAGTGTCCAGCATATGGAAAAATCTGTCATAAGTGTAAAAAGGCAAATCATTCTGGAAATCATTGTAAAAGCTATATAATGAAAAATGAAGCAGTCAAGGTAAACAAAAAAGATAGACAAATTAAATTAATGAATCTTGACTCTGAGGCAGAGCCATGTCGGCATGTTTTATGTCGGCACATTAAACCTTAATTCAGATAACAAGGAAGAGAAATGGACTGTTCATGGTAATGTAAATAAAAGTAAGCTAAATTTGCAGTTGGATACTGAAGCAATGTGCAATGTTATTTCTGAAAGCAAAGTGAAGTTACTAAATGTTCCGATACGGAAGTCTGAAATTAAAAGATTGGTTACATTCTTGGGGAATAAAATGTATACTTTAGGAAAAGCAGTACTTAATTGGCAGTATGAGAAAAATAGTTATGTTGTGGAATTCCAAGTTATTGACAAAGAAGTACCTTCTATATTAGGATTAAAATCATGTTTGCAACTAGGTTTGATTCAGAAAGTAATGTTTGTTTACACTGAAGACTTACTGGAGGAATACAAAGATGTATTTGAAGGTTGTTTGAATAGAGAATATAAAATCCAGTTAAAACAAGATGTAACACCAGTCATTCATCCTCCAAGAAAAATACCCATAGCTATACGTGATAAAGTTAAGAAAGAATTACAAAGAATGGAAAATTTAAATGTTATTGAGAAAGTAAGAGAACCAACTGAATGGGTAAATTCAATGGTCGCAGTTGTCAAACCTAACATAATAAGAATGTGTTTAGATCATAGAGATTTAAATAAAGCTATAAAACGAGATCCTATGTTAACCATTGACGAAGTTGTCCCTAGAATGCCAAATGCAAAAATATTTTCTGTTTTCGATGCTAATAGTGCTTTTTGGCAAATCCAGCTTCACGAAGAAAGTAGTAATTTGTGTACATTCAATACACCTTTTGGCAGATACAAATTTAAAAGGTTACCATTTGGCATATGTTATGCTCCAGAAATCTGAAGAAAATTAAACCAAATAACAGAAAGTCTAGAATGTGTTGAATGCATTATAGATGATATCTTAATATGGGATTCTAATGAAAAGGAACATGACCTACAACTTGAAAAAAGTACCCCTGAGAGCACAAGAAAATAATTGTGGTTCAGTAAGGCTAAGTTTAAAATAAAAGTTAATATTGTGAATTATATAGGGAATGAGTTAAGTGAAAATGGGATAAAACCTGATTTTTCTTAAGTGGAAACAATTTTTAAAATACCAGAACCTACAGATGTGATTTCGCTAGAAATATATTTGGGAATGATTAATTATTTAGCCAGATCTATTCCTAACTTAACTACTATTACTGCACCATTAAGACAGTTATTTGAGAAGATATGAATGAACCATAATTTATGAAATAAAGAGCAATTATGATCTAAAGGGTATCAAAATTTACAAAAAAAAAAAAGGTTTAATATTTATTTGTTTACTTTATTAAACATTTCTTTCAATGTAAGTTGTTTAATTTGCTTCATTTTTTGTGCTAATACTTTCTCTTTAATTCTAAAAACAGACATAATTTCTTGTTCAGTTACAAAGTTCCACTGTTCAAGTCCTGTAATTGCTGTGTCAAGAATAACGACTAACTTGTCAATTGAAATTTTTTCGTTTTCAATACCTCTCTGTCACTTTCTTCAGTATCGGAAGCGGTATTTTCTGGATCTAGAACCATGCTACAGATTTCGCCGTCTGTTAATTGATTGATGATTGGGTCATTGTCGTCACAATGAAAACCTTCTGTTACATCATCTTCATTTATTGCCGCTTCTCCACATTTCTTTACAAAATCCAATAACTGGAAAATTTCACCTTTAGTTTGCAATGTCTGAAAACCAGCAGAATTGGAAACTCTTTTTGACATAATCGAAAGTTCAAGCTTAATTTTTATAAAATTACTCTAAATAATAAGCCAGATCCAATTAGAAGATTAAGGAACAGCACAATCTGCAACATTAACTGAAATGCCTTAGAATCAGTGAAGATAATTTTAGCCTAGCTTATACCGTCCGTTATACATTAAATGTGTATGCGTAAAGCGTACAAAAAAAAAAGTTGTGGCTTTGAGGTCTGTATTGTAGATCATTCTGGGTAGTGGACGTCTTACCGACTTTGTGCTGTTGTATTTTGGGATAAATATTAAGTTACTGCTGAAATTTCAAGTTACCTAAAAAGAATTGTGAAGAAAATGCCTTATTTTCATTCTTTTATGTTAACTTTTGTTACTTTCAGTTAACAATGGTACATAGAATAACAGCTGCTACATTTTCATTATATGTACACATGGAGGTTATTTGTTTGGGTTTCTGATATTTTCTTGTATTTACATTGCCCTTTTATCTGCTCTTTTTTTCTCAATATATAGGGATAACCTGTAGTTTCATTAGTTTGGTCTTATAAAAGTTGAAATTTATCTTATTACAAATATATATATATATAAATATAATTTTTAAGTATGACGAAGTGGCTGCTGTGGAGCAGATGAGAAGTGCAATAGTTGAAGGCCTTGCTGTGAAATTTCTCACACCCCCAATGCCTACATCACACAGGCCACAACATATGCCCTTTCCTAACTTTCCAGTACCTGTCCAGCCAGGTTCACAAGGCCGAGGTAGAGGTAAGTTAATGAACTTCATTATTATTGATTATTTTTTAAGTTTCTGTACATTTGACCATATTACTGCACAGTAGTAAGTGAGAAATCAGAGTTGTTAGGACTTCGCTGATTCTAGATTTCAGAATTTTTTTGAATTTTGCCTTTTGCTTGTGGTATTCTAAAATTTTCATATTTATGCCTGTCATTATCACATTAAATATGGTAGCTGGCATAAATTATGCCAAGCGTCCATTTAAATATATGCAGCAAAGCCAGCAGATAATTTCAAAAATATGAATTTTTAAATTCTCACTTCTATATTGCATGTGAAAAATACATTCTTTCATGACATCGCAATGTTCTGCTTCTGTAGACAGCAGGTATCTGAAAATAATATATAGGAATCACAATTAGTTGAGAAAAATTGGTTTTACAGCCCTGCCTTCTCTTTTTTTTTTTTTTTTTTTTTTTTAGTATTATATTCTCTATTCCTAGACCTTGGAGAAAAGAACAATTTGCTTGTGGCCTGAATGTTGGGCATTTCAGACTATGCTCTGTATTACTTTTTTTATGAATAGGTAAATAAGATATTTTATTATTTCATGGCTGCATGTTAGAAATTCATCATTCCAAACTCATTGAAGTTCATGGAAAATAATAATATTCTCTGTCTTCTGTGAAATGTTCAGATTAGTTTATTCCCAATTTATTTAGAAGTTTAATTAATATTAACACAGAAATAAGCACCCTGGTAAAGACCTGTTAAAACTGGTACATGTTTTTTGTTTATTAGCATGTGCTTATGCTTTCCAGACCAAAACACACCTGGGGGGGGGAAATTGGCAGCCATCTTTGAGATGTCTCAGCAGATTTCTTTTCTTGTTGCTTTAATTTCATTGTTTTAATGTCTTGAAATATGAGAGCTGCTAACACAAATGTACCTTTTTAAAAATTCTTATGAGTAACAGTTTTTATGTTTCGATGCTCCCCTTTTGTTATCTTGATATATAGAATTTTTTCTTTCTCTTATTTTGTTTGTCAAATGGCAAGGACATTTTGGTGGCTTTCTATTACCTCTCATAACATACTTGTATTACAAGATTTTAACTTATGTGATAACTGAATTCCATGACATAAATTTAAGTAAAACACAGATGTTGGCTGCTAATGAATATAATAAAATAGGCAATGGGGGAATTTGAATCTTATTTGCTAACTATAGAAACAGTATGAATGAAACATTCAGTATAATTTTCGTATTTGATATCTGCCAGGAAAAGCTGAGTTTTTAGTTATTATTTTTAATTTGATAATTATTTCATATAACTTGGTATAAAGCTATATTTCTTTTGATGTCTATTTCTTCTGATTTCTTTACTCCTGATTGAGGAATATACCAAGGTTTAGTAGAAACACATGTGACCTGAAATTAATATCTGGTATGAATAACTAATCAAATAGAAATGTTTCAGAATATCATTCATTTTAAACTAAAGTATCAAGTAAAAGCTAATTTAAATTTCCCATATATGCTTTGATTAGAAATGATGTAGTGCATATTAGAATGTGTTATTCATATGTATAGTTTTTTATCGAAGCATTTTTTTTAAAAAAGTGCCACAGCTTATTTTGATGTATGGAGCAGAATTAATTAACTTGATGAGCATACAACTTGAGTTGTGACATCAATTTTTTTTTTTTTTTCTTTTTTTAATTTTTAGAATATTTAAAACTTTGTGCACCACAGAGGTAAGTATGAAAAAAAAATGCAATGCAACACAGAAATAAAATAAAATTACAAATTCGCAGATGAAACATGAAAAATATGCAGAAAGAGAGTACCATTTTATAGAGAGGAGGAGGAAGCGTAATACATATAGTGTTTAACTGACAAATGAGTTTTTTTTTTTTTTTAAATTCTGTAAGCTTTGAACAGTAGAACAACAAATGCTCGACATTTTGCACTCCTCTTACATTACAGACAAATCTGTATTAGATAGCAAAAATCTCTTTATGAAACTTACTACTTCTTTATTGCATTTATCCATGAATATTTCATGAAACCTATATCTTCACAGTATATATATACACACACTCTTTTGCAAAAAAATCGAAGCACCAAGAAGGACATTTGCGATAGCAACAAAATTTGGTGTGCAAAAACATCTTGATTGAACATGCAAATGATCAAAGTTTCAAGGCAAATGAACAGGAATTGCGATTATAGTGCGCATTTCTAGTGCACAATTTGCAAAGTATAAAACCAGTAGCAGAGGCGGTAAATTCCCCCCCCCCTTTTTTTGTTGCTGCCATTGTAATTCCATAAAGAAGCAACTAAAGATGCCATTAGGACGATATTGAAGACCTCACAGACAACTAAACGATTTCGAACATGGTCGCATTGTAGGATTGCGTGAATCTGGGTCGTCATACCAAGCAGTAGGTGCCTACCTGCAGCGTAGAGACACTGCTGTGCAAAGATGTTGGCTGCAATGGTTGCTACGAGGAAATTCCCGATGAAATGAAGGCTCTGAAAGGCCAAGGAGCACAAATGCAAAGCAAGATAGGATGATTGTTCACCAGGCACGAACCGCCCTAACGGCATCGTTGTTGACTATTCAATGTACTACAGCCATGTCTATACCTTCTGTGGCACCATCTACCATCTCACGACTCTTGTCTGAGGCAGAGTTACATTCACAGTGGCCTTTAAGATGTTTACCTTTAACCCCCATAACTGCAGAGTCGTCTGGAGTGGTGTCACAGCTGATCATCATGACTGTCATCATTTAGTGTTCAGCAATGAATCCCGCTTCAGTATTGAAGCAGATGACCACTATGTTCTTGTATGGAGAGGACAAGGCCAGCGGTCCCAATCAGCCTTTGTTTCATACAGCCATAACTCCTGGTGTGATAGTGTGGGGCGCTATTTCTTATGGACAGCAGGTCCTCTTACTCATCCTCCGTACATCTTTTAACAGCTCAACAATATGTTGATACCATCCTGTGACCAGTTGCATTAGCCTTCATGGCACGTCATCCTGGGACCATTTTCCAACAAGATAATGCTAAGCTACATACCGCTTGCATATCTCTAGACTGTCTCCATGTGGCTGATACTCTTCCTTGGCCAGCTAGGTCACCAGACCTTTCACCAATCGAGCATAGTCTGGGATATGGTAGGCTGCCAGATTCGTGCACCACAAAAATATTGCAGATCTGAAGTGACAAATAATGAATGCCTGGCAGAATGTGTCGGAGAATGACATTAGAAACCTCTACCACTCCTTGCCTCAACGAATTCAAGCATGCATTTGCCGCCAGGGGCAGTTCAACCGACTACTAATTTGAACAGTCGGTGATTGTGAGCTGTGAACAAGTACTATGACCTTGATTTTTTAATCATTTTGTTATCTATACATATTCAATTTCATCAAAAACAACCACTTTCCTTGATGGTGCTTTAATTTTTCTGAAAAAGAGTTATATGTATTTAACAGATACTTTCTATTCATAAAAGGCAAATTTAAATTAAACTTTAAATTTTAAATTATGAAATTTTAATTGCAAACAAATGATTAATTGTTTCTGCGAAATAATCTACAATACCATTTAAATTCTGAGAGCGTCCTCTATTATAAAGTTAGCTTCAACATCACTTAGTTTGGCAAATGCTGCTACCACTCTCCTCTGCTAACTGTTCTATTAACTTTATAATAGAGGACAGTAATATAAGGTATATCTTATAAGAAAGTGGAATTAATTAAATTTAACTTTACTTTTTCTTTCTTATGAAACAATATATATATATATATACAGGTATTTTTGGTACTGCATATGCTCTGTAAATATGTGTGCATTATGGTTAAAATGTAAAAATGTCATTTTAAATGCTATCAGTTTGATATGTCCACATTTTTACATAGTCATGGATAAAAGAGAATATGTATCAAATACACCTATACTTTTACAGTATTTAACATAGCTCATCTACATTTTTTGCATAATTTATTAAATATAATGATGTAGAACAAGAAACTAAAAAGTTGTTCATTATTTAATGCAGTTTATTAGTTTTGGAAAATGTAAGAATTTAACACTGGATTTTACATTAAAGTAATTACTGTGGTGAAAAATTATCTAATAATTTAGAATTCATTGAAAAATATAGACACTATGTAAATTTTTGTTTTAAATTTGTATTTAATATGAATGATTAGCAGATTTCAAAGATAAATAATTACTGATACACTTTTTTAAAGGAAAAACAAAGCAATGAGACATTTTATTTTTTCAAAATACATGATTTTCATATAATGCCCTTTATAATTTTCTTCTTTCATGCTGTAGCTATATGAATATAGAATATTTAAATATGTGAAATTATTTTATTATCCAAATTTATTTTAGTATTATAAATTTATTATTAATTTATAGCTTCATATCTTATACTTTCCTGGTCTTTCTAAAATGTATTTGTTCCGTTAATGATTTAATAAATAGTTTGCTAGTCAAAAAATAATATATGTGAACTAATGTAATTGCAAGCTCTAATTTGTTTGATATGTCTCATATAAGTGAAAAGAATGAATTATGATAACTAGAAATTATTAGTAATGTATTATTATATTGAATCAGTTGTGATAACTGAAGGTGTTCAATTAAACTTTCTTTTTGGTAGCTTAAGTAAAACAATTTTATTGGCATCCTTATTTTGAATATATGGGTAGCTTGTATATTAAAAATTTACAAAATATATATATTTAAATTTAAAGAGACATACTAGAAAAGCTCTTATACCTGGACGTCTATTTTACACTCCGAGAGTTGGCGTCAGTTTGTGTGCTGCCAGATGTCACTGCTAGTGAAAAACAGGTCTGCCTGACATCCCATATTCTCTCAGTATGGAAGTCATCTGAAATGCGGGGAAAAGTATTACCTGATCGTCAACCAGGCTTATCTAGTTGATGTTCTAAGTAGGCAATGGCTTTGTATGTGTTTTTGCAGCTAGTTTTTTTCAT